AAATCATCCTTGTGCACCGAAGGCACACAAGTGTGCAGAGATCAGTTGAACAGCAGATACATAATTGAGAACGGTTTCATTCTTTCTGTTGTGTTCAATGCTTTTTTGTTGTTGTCGTTGTTCTTGTAATGAGAAAATTCTCATTGCCGTACAATTCTGACAATAGTTGTCTTTGTATTTTCTGGTAATTCTGCAGGAAGGATACAACACTGCACAGAACAGCCTATGCTACTCTTCAACTACTCTTCCAATCAGGGACAAACTGTCAGGTGTGTGTGCAGAATATGCCAGTTAAAGAACTGAATCTTTCTAATATTATTAATTTCCTTTTGCATTAGGTTTCTTGGCAAATAGGGTTGTAAAGTGTAAAAAATTGTTTTCCTGCACATAAAACATTCCAGAATAAATACTACATTATACCCATCCAGCTGCAAATTGCTGTTATCTGCTATGGACAATTAGCTTATTATACTTCCTCTTCAAACCTAATACCATCGCATAATCTTGGAGCCCTAAGTATAAAGGCATCTCTTAACTTCCTTATACTTTGGATCAGCCTGCAAAAATAGCTTAGTGTTTCAGGGTTCTTCCCAATAGGGTTGCTCATTATCGGCTCTCAACTACTGTGCTAACAGTTCCACACTGAGTACAAAAAGCAGCAAAAGGGTTTGCCAGCAGTTTTCTGTTATTTTAAGCACTCTAGACTGAACTTACATCAATATTGTTATTGGTGTACTTAAAATAATAGGCAAAAGAATAGATGACTGGAAAAAGGTGAGTAGGGAGGAGTAGGAAATGCCGATGCTGCTGAAAAAACATTTTTTTAAAAAAAAAAAGGCAGTGTTTCAACAAGGCAGATTTTATGACAAGCACCATTGACTTTTACAGAGCTATTCCTAACTGGAACTGAGAAGAGAACAAAGGTTTCATAAAGGTAGAAAACAAAGGGATAACTGAAGCAACCAGGAGAAGTTTTCAAACTGTGATAGAGAGTACACCGGGCTCCAGAGGCTTCCAGCCTCATGTAACAGCTGAAGTAAATCAGTGCAGCTCACTGGGCAGGGAAATGGCAGAGAACATTTTCAAAAATGTCTGGCCAGTATATGGTTTCCTCAGAAAGTCAGGGTTGTCCTTGTGCTGTTAGCCAGTATCTATTCACCTTTAGAGTTTTCAACTTGCTGGAAACTAGTGGGTTGGCATAATAATTCTTTTTTTTTTTCTCTCTCTTTAACTCTCCTTGAAAGTGCTTCTGTCTGCTCACCTTTAGTTTGAGAGGGAACCTGTGAGTGTAAAGAGGGAATCTGTATATGTAAAACGTGATTATTTCTTTAAAGACTTGTGCTCTCTTCTATATCCTCACATTCCTTTTCTCCAGTAAAGTTTTCTAGTTGCTTTTATTATCCATTGAACCTCTGTAAGGTTAGGAAACATGAGCACCTCAGATAGACAGATAGAGCATGGCTTGACAAATGCAAAAATTCTATTTTCTTCTGAGCAGCAGATTTCTCTTTATGCCACAATAGCCACAAGGCTATTGAAAGATAAAAGGCAACTTTTTTTTTTTTTTTTTTTTTTTCCTTCTTTCTTTCTAGGGCTGGTAGAAGGACACCTTGTCCCTCTCCCCTGGGTACTGCTCATAGCGGGGCATGCCAGCCCTGCTAAAAGGCTGGCAGCGCAGCTGGTCCAGCTTTCTAATGAAAAATGCACAGGTGGTGGGAGTCTGCCTGAGGGTATGGATCCCAGATGAGAGATGCAAATAAGGATGAGTAGGTGGGATACTTGGGAAAGGATGGATGCAGAGACTAGTCTGGCACAAAGACAGTCCTTACCCTAGGGTTTCTGATGGGCACTTTTGCACAGGTTGAAGGATAACGGGGATTTTTCTTATTCGATGAGCTGAAATATCCCTTTCCTTCGATTCATTACAGGGAAAAAGAAAAAGCCTAACCTGAAACCATTTTAGGGGAGTGCCTAGGATATTCATTACCATAAGCTGGCAGGAGGCAAAACTGGCCTGTGAGGCTAAAGAGCAGGGACCTGCCTCTAGAGACTTCACTGCATCCAAAATACTTGTAAAATTATCGCACTTTTTTCCCTCCCTTTCCTCCTTAGGACCTGGGGGTTGCCGACTGCCAGCAGCCTTCATTGATGACAGAAGGCATCCAGCTTCAGTGCTTCAAGGCAGGGAACAGATATTGAGGGCACAGAGCCTATGTCTGCAGGTAATCAGGGTAAAATACCAGCTTCCAGCAAGCTGTTTTTGTTCGCATGCCGGGTGCTGTCTGACAGGGGAACTCTCTGAACCAGTTTTCAAGGAAAGAGAACTGCTCCTAAAATGGTAATTCTACTACAAAGAGAAAAATAAAAACTAGGATGAAATTTGATAGTTCTGAATGGTGTATTTCATATAATCAAATGGCTACCTTATTGTTTTAACTCTACACATACACACATTTTATGTTTCTGTGGATTACATATGAGCACAAAAAATATGATTCCTCTTGGTCTATTTAAACCATGGTGACCTTGCAACTCCTACACTATGGGCAATCACAGATGCCTGACATAATCAGGTATCACAGTCAGTGTTTCCCTAGGACTGGTGATATTTGTGAGAAATGCTTTTGTTATTACATTTCTTGGCTCTTATAGTCCAGGTTTTTTTTTTTGTCAACAAAACAAAAAAGATCTTTCATATTTGCTACTGGGTAAATGAGAAAAATAAAACCATTTTCCTTTGGGAACAATTTTTTCCTAGCATAATGATAAATTTATTTTGGAAAAAAAAAATCTGCTTATTCCAAAATATCCTGATAGCATTCTAAACCATTTTTTGTGTGTGTTTCTACCGTTATAATCTAATCACAACTATTTTTAGAGCGCCAGTGAATAATAGTATTAGGCAGCACTGTTTTCTGTGAGACAGTTTGAGACTCCCATTTGAGCTTCTGCTAGAGAGGCGTATCATAGAAAGTACCATCGCAGATTTGCACCTTTGTCACAGAGGCAGGCAGACAGATCAAGGACGTGAAGGGCCTGCCATTTGAAGTGTCTTCAGGATGAGGATGTACTGTCAGGGATCGGGAAGGAGGCGGCTTTGTTGTGCTGCTGCAGTATGTGTCTGAAGATAAAAGGAGCGTTGCTGCACCAGGGCCATCAACCCAACACATTTCAAGACATGAATTTCACTTAGAATTAAGCATGAAAAATTTTTTAACTGTGAGGGTGACAGAGCACTGGAACAGGCTGCCCAGAGAGGTTGTGGAGTCTCCTTCTCTGGAGATCTTCAAAACCCGCTTGGACGCAGTCCTGTGCCACGTGCTCTAGGTGACCCTGCGTGTGCAGGGGGGTTGGACTAGATGATCTCTAGAGGTCCCTTCCAACCCTAAGCATTCTGTGATTCTATGATTCTATGAGCTGGTGGACTGAAAAATCAAATCTGTTTATTTATTTATTTATTTTTAACTTTATTTACCATCTTAAGCAAAGTCCCAGTCACTCTGTAAATGAATACTGACGCTTAGGTAACCTACTGGAATGGAGGATTTTGCAGCATAAAGATCAAACACTTTAAATTGCATAAGCATAGTAGCAGAATGAAACCTTCGGGGACTACATTACAGCGCTTAGGGATATTTCCATTATCTTCAGTTTTGCTGAAGCCCTCAAAACTCGGGGAGCACTCTCATTCAGTCATCTGTTGCTCTAACGTCCCTGTCACTGAGCCATCACCCTAACAGACTCTAATAAACCTGAGCGCACGTATCAGGTCATCTCCTGCTCTTGGAGCAGCCCCTTCAGGTCCTGGATAAAGCACACCCAGGAAGACACAGTAAAGGGGAAGTTGTTTAAAGCCACAGCTCATCTTGCACTATGACTAGAGAGTTAATCAAGTTTTCTGATTCTCTCTGACACCTGTTACTTATATACAAAGTACTTTTTAAATGCACTTTTTTAACACTTAACACACTTTAATAAAGAGAAAAGAGAGCTCCCCTAAGCCTCCAACTTTTGTTATTAGATTTTCAGCACTTCCAGCATTATCAGTTTGCCCATCACACACAGTCTGCATAAGCCACTGCCAAGGAGTGGCTGGCAGTTAAGCTGTATCTTTCATCCAAAGATCTCAAAGTACCTGATGAACTTCACCAGCTGATTATTTACTACATATACAAAGAGCATTTTGCTCACTGCAATTCAGCCATCTCCAGAATAGAAGGCTGTGTTTTAAGTCTGGCAGCATATATTATTTTAGCGATCTGGGCATACAGTAGTGAATATCAACTCAGTGAAACTAAAGGAGAATTTCAGACAGAAATGGTTTAATTACCTATCCAGGATGTTATTTGGTAAGACAGATTGAGACTTTTCCAAAAAGTTACACAATTAGTTAAGACCCTGGTTTTATCTCTGAGCTGAAAGCCATCACCCTGCAAAACACCACCTGCTAAACCCCACTGTGGAAACTGACTGAATGTCCTGCCCTGTGAACTGACAACCCTGTTTTCTACTGTTTTTTCCCTTTAGGTTAAGGGGGGCTAACACTGCGTGCATTTGCAGTGCACAGAAAACAATAGTACATCATGAAAAGAATTCATGTCTAAACAAACAGACTTAATGAATGATGATACTGATGTAAACCCATTGAGAGGTGCCTGCCACGAGCTTTCTGCTTTCTGCCAGAGAACCTGGGTTATGGATCCCCATGACCAAAGGTAGCGCCTTTTGTCTCCTTCCTCCCGTCTTGGCAGACCCCTGTTTCGCAGCTCAAACGGGACAGACTCGCTGTTACACAGAAATAGCAATACTTGCTTTCATGTACATAGAAGAAGGGGCTGCCTCTGGCTTCCATCGCTTCACTTGAACGCAACTCAGTGGGTGCAGCAGAAAGTGGACGTTCACTAGAGTAAATTCTGGCATCGTCTGCTCCTCTGTTAATTTGAGGTAAACTCCAGACACAAAATGACCAACTTTAAATATATGACAGTATAAATGAGGGCAAAATGTGACTCCAAAGTATTAGGTTTACTCTTGCTGCATGCATGATTCTCAATGCTTTAAGAGATGTTTCAAAACATTTCCCATCCCCAAAGACTAATTAAAGACAAAGTCTGTTAGCAACAGTTCACCCTGAAAACTGAAAGCTAATTTCTGCTACCATACACAATAGAATACCAGTGCTTATGCTCTCTGGCTGCCTTTTCTTCCACTCATCCATTTCCTTCACCTGCAACCTGATCTGCAGTGGCAAGAGTGAATGACTTACCTAGATGGGCGAGAACAATTCCTGATAACACCCACAGGCAGGGAAGGAGCCTCACACCATTTAGACAACTTTGTGACTAGTCAGCTACAGTAAGACCACAAGTTTGAGCACAAAATAATCCAAGTAAGCACACATAGCCTTGGCTTCCACATTCACACTGGGCTTGGCTGAGCAGAAGGAGCATCCGGTCGCACTACTCGAGCACCTACACGCTACCCGAGCACATAAATCTTAGCACTTTGTTTAATGCTTTGCTGTTTTTAAGATTGGAGTGGCCAGCACCTTGCAGGTGTAAACCTGTTCCTCCTACCACACCAAAGGAAACTCTGGATATGCTGGTGTAGATTTGGATCTCCCCACCAGCTTTAACTAGTATGAACGGAGTTATGCCTCATTTAGCCTGGAGAGAAAAAGCAACCAAGTCGATACTACTTTGGAACTGCTAAATAATGCTTTAGCTGAAATACCATAAAAATGATTAGAAATCCAGAATTTGTACAAGATCTATAGTAAAAGTTGTGTACGCAGGTACCAGTTGTGTATTCAACGAGCAACAAAAGCTAGAATTAAACCTAACACAATGATCCTGATATGGAGTTACTATAATGAAAGTACTTATAATAGGAAGGATTATATCCTTACTTCCCAACTGTAATCTGAATTATCCTGCACAAACAAATAGTTACAGTAGTGTAAAAGCTCAGAATATGGGACAAAAGAAGACCATGCTTTGTTTAGTGAATCTCTGTAATCTCTTTCTTTGCAATATTCCCCCATCTCAGAGGCACATCTGGTGTTTTAGGAACATTGCATTCAACAGCAGTAAAAGTACTCCAGAGCCAAGAATAACAAATGAAAAATGAAAACACTCAGGCCTAATGCTGATCTCATATGGGTGTAAATCAGAGGGATTCCAGCAAAACCACTGGAACCACACCAATGAAATACTTGTGTCTGATTCAGATTCAGAACTGTAGAGACCAGTGATTTTCATCAGGCTTGATGTCAGGGCTGAAATTCTCTCATTTTACTAGAAAAACTTGCTGCATCACATCCTTAAAAGGTTTTTCACAAATGCAACAAATGCTGTGGAAATGACAAAAATAAAGTAAAAACATTTTATTAGATCTTGTGCCTGTGCCACATAATGCAAGGTACCTGCCAAAGCAGATTAACAACAAGCTTTTGATTTATAATTTGCAGCACAAAAAGAGAGTTTGTGAGCAAATAGATGTATGCAGTTCATTATTGGTAAGTACTTGATCTGGTAGTACTTTCTACTGGTTTCAGGGAGGACAGGATAAGGCCCTAAACACAAAGTCTTCGGTATCATGACCTTAAAAATATACACCATTGCATTTCGTATTTCTGGTGTTGGTTTTATGCATTTTCATAACAGCAGCACTGGTAACATATGGCAAATTTAATTTGAATAGACTACCTTTAAACAGGAAACAGTTCTCAGTGGTTATTGGCAAAACTGTTTGAAGACACCAAAAATTAAAACCTCTTCATCTGCTGTTTGCTGTTAGAAGATCCTAGATGGTGTATCCAAAAATTGCCTGTGCTGAAAGCATTCTTGAGGCTGAAAATTCTGTCTCCCCCTTGGAATTCATCAGCAAACGGATATTGAAGAGGAGATTCAATAGCTGCATTAAGTTTCCTAATAGCACCTTCCATTGTAAGATCAATTCTTTTCTCTTGTTGCTGCATGCTTCCAAGAGCTACATGGCATAAAATTTAGGACTATCACAAAAACACAGGCCTTCTAATTCCCAGAGACATGATGCCAAAATGCAATCGATCTCGTATAATTGCCAAGTGCTGCTGTTTTAATTTCATCTCACTGTACCTATATTTTCACCTCCCTTTCTCCCTCCTATTTAACACAGTGGTGGAATTTGTCCTTCCCTTGCTGTCTCCTTTAAGAGTTGCCCTAAAGCTCGCTTACAGACAAGACGACTTTCTGTGGATTTAAAGGAGCTTTGCAGGAGGTAGTGACTTCAGTTATGCTCCATATGCTTCATAGTTTGCATTTAACATATTTCTTTGCAAATGACCACTTTCATTACCTCCTAGGCACTGCTTATAGAGTTGCCTACTGTTCATCAGCATTTGGAGGCAATGCAGCCCTTTAAAGACAACATTCCAGGTATGAAGTCTCTCCCTAATTTGCCCTACTGCCCTTTAGTACTCTTCCTACCTCAGGATGCCCTTTTAAAGTCCACTTTGCAAGGAATCAGTATACTGCTTGCTTTGTAAACAGAATAACCTCCCCAGGCTTGCTGCTGTTTGACTTTGTATTCAATGAACATCAGGGCACACAGCAGCTAGAATACCTGACCTCAAAGACTGAAGTTCACTAAGAAGCACTCAGATCTTGAGGCAAAGGGTTTCATATTACTAGCTTGTGTGTCGTTCATTGATTAGAGGTTTTACAGCTGATAGTGTGTTTCAAGGTTTATTTGGAGACTTTGTCAGGAGAGCTGGAAGAGAGGAGAGAGAATGCAAGTCTGAGCGTTTCTTTTACATCTAATGTGTGGCATTAAGGTGAGAATAAACAAAGGCTGCAGCAGGGAATGCTGTTAATGGACTGTTTCCAGACCTACCCACCTACTCAGCTGGGTCCCTTCTTTGCAGGATAGAGTTGGGATAGCGGTGGGTGGAGGCCTGGGCACTACAAGGAGTGAAGTGCAAGAGAAGGACTGTAGTTGTTGTTCCTTTCAGAGGATTTGTTCATTTGCTGTTTCATTTTCTCTCTCTGAAGGAAATGGCAGTGATGCAGGTATTCTGAATATCTGAGTAAGAATAATACAGGATCACGCTTGAACTTCCCATTCTAGTCACTCAGGAAAGTGACTTACAGGTGTTGCCTGCTGCCATGAAATAGACTCTACAAAGTTTGTTCACGACATGCAAAATGCGTCTGTGCAAGCTCTGCTATCAGGGTTAGATTCAGAAAAGGCTCCAAAGACACATGAACACCTGGAAGAGCATTGATAAGAGAAAGAACAGATCTATTTTCTGCCGATTTCCCATGGGCCAGATTTAGAGGAGACTCTCAGAAGAAAAGTAAATGAGCATATAAGGGGAGTCTTAAAATTTCCATACTTTACCTTGTAAAATGGTTTTCAAAGCTTCCAGGCACAGCAATGCTAGGAAACACTGCCAAGGCTCAAGGCAGATATGGACCAAGGTGGTAAGCACTGAGGTCAGTAGAGATATCCATGGGGAAACTCAGCAGCAAATCTTATCTTCAGATGTATCACTGAGGATGTTTTGGTAATCACTGTAGGATATGGAAAAGAAAGAAGTTATGGATCTTTAAAAGACCATGCTTTTTAAAAAAACTGTGTAACAGGGCTGTGTGTGCATGTGTCCAGACCCACTGTTGTTCAAAAAAGTTTGAAGTGTAAAATTTGTCTTGAACCAAAGCAACTAAAAGGGAGCATGAAGCACCCTTTAACTTCTACAGGCTATGGCTTAGGTGTTAAAGAAAAGAGTGTATATGCTGACACGCGCATAACCCTTTTATAACCTCCCATGCCTGCCCCTGTACAAGGTAAGGATTGATAACTCACTTCTTTATCCACTTAGGCCACTTGGGCTGTAGTCTGAGTGCGCTCTTGAGGGATATCTTCTCCCGCCAGGCTTGTGGTTAATTAGTATTCTTAATCTGCATTTCTAGGGACAGGTGTTTGTCTAAGGAAGAAAAATATCCAGCCGCCTAGCATCTGGAAAGCAGGGTTCAATGCTCAGGAAGTGCTCTCCAAATGGAACATGGTTTCACCACTCCAAATCCTTCAGCAGAGAACCAAGGCAGATGGGGCTGCTCAGAGTGCTGGGAATTATCCATAGCTGCTTAGTTACATGAACCTCAGATGCTCAGGAGATGACCTGCAGCTCCCTACAGCCTGATCCACCTTCACTCCATTCTCATGCTTGGATTGTGGTTTACCATGGCTTTTTAAAAATTTGAGCATTGCTGAAAGAATCCTTTTCCTGTCTAGCATCTATCCTTCAAGCTGGAAGCAGTGATTATGTCTCAGGGACAGACAAAAAATTCACTGAGTCAGATCCCACAAGAATTACAGTCTGTGCCCCAGACTCCTCCTCTCAGTCCAAACACACAGAATATTATTTCTCTATTAGTTTGCACCCCCTGGACTACTTTCACCTGTGCTAAGTGAATGCAGGCTGCCAGCAAGGCAAAACTCTCCAATACCTCAACTAGAAAAAGGCAGGAGAGCAACAAGGGCAATTGGAGATCTGTGAAATATAAGCTATGAGGAAGCAGGGAAGGAATTTTTGTTTTCTTAAATATAGAGAAGACTGAACAGAGACATGATAACAGTCCTCAAAAATGTAAACGGCTGCAGCAAAGAGGAAGGAAATAATCTTTCTCTCCCACACGGAGAGGATAACAATAACAGGCTAAAATTGCATCAAGAAGGCTTTTGATTAGATACCGGCAAAAACATTTCTAACAGTAAAAATGGTGATACTGAAGCTCTGAAATATGTTTCCTTGCAAAGTGGGTGGAGCTGGAATGTTTCCAGAGTGGGCTGGAGCAATATCTGTGCTAACTAGACAGGTGCCAATGACCCACTGCTCTTGAGGCAGAAGGAGGAACTAGGTGACCCAATAAAAATCCTTCTAGTCTTGCTTTCATATAATTTACCAATTCATTGTCTAAGTAAATTTCCTCATATTGTCATTTCAGATTTTAGAAGTATACCTGCTCCAATTCAATTGCATCTTTGCTTCCTAAATCCCCAGAGCCTTCCTTAAGATTACAACTCTTCCAGACACTAAATTATGTTCTCTTGGCTCTCTTGGGTTCTTTACTATAGAAGGAGAAGCAAGTCTTGCCAACCAGGTTTTAGGACACTACCATTCACTGAAAGGCATGAAAGACTAATACTCGTAAATAAGTTACAAAAAAAAAAAAAAAAAAAGAGGGTCCTTTGGCTACCTAATCACTTGCCTTTGCTTTTGCCTTTGCTCCTCAAACTGAGCAAACACCATCCTAAGTCTGGTTTGATCCCTTGTCCTCGCTGCCATCCTTGGCTGGCTCTTATGGAACAGCAGTACTTAAGCAGCCAAGAACCTTCTTATTTCTGACCCACTCTTTTTTTATTGGCCAGTTTATTAATTAGTTTTTGCACTAATGTTTCCAGCTTTCTACTGACCCTGCTTAGTGTACACATAGATGGCAGCAGTATTCCCCTTGGGTTTCATTCTGTAAAGCTGAACAACATGAGCTCTTTTAATGTCCTCTCAGAAAATAAGGTGAATGCATCCATAATGGGTCAGTAGCACATGCTTTTTCCTTCTGTTTACAATCAAGAGGTGGCCTAGAAGGAGAAAGGGCAGAAAGGGAGTCTCAAAAAGAGAACGAATCAAGCCAAAACTAAGACCACTTTTGTAACACAAAAATCAAGCCATGGGAAATGTTAAGAAGTGAGGTTGCCCTGTCATTTAGCATGATAGAAGCGTGGTCACCCTACAGAAGCTCTTGTGGTCCTGGTTACGGTCACCTCTGGAGCACCACAATATACCCCAAGGTAGTGGGCAAGAGCCCATCATTTCCATCAGTCTCCAAACAGCACAACCTCCTTTCTGCCTCCAGCCATCTCCACTGGCCTGTGCTGAGGCCTGAGGATTTCACCTCTTCTTTCCCACGCCTCCCTTTGCAGAGGCCAGCCCCAAGGGTGGCATTGGCACCGCAATGCTGGGGTTGCGCATTCAGCAGCAATGCTGCTTGGACCGGCTTGTCCCCACTCTGCTCCCCAACATGTTTTCCATGTCCTGCCTGGCGCCCTCCCCACTGCCAGCATAAGCGTTTGTGTAGTTATGTGCAGAACCAGGTCAGAGAACTCATCCCAGCCAGAAAAAAAAATGGCCTGGCATTTTTTTTTCTCCAGGTAGACCTAGTTCTTCTTTCTGGTTTCCTGGGTGGCTGCACCAGTTCCTTGGCTGGCATAAGGGAGGGAACAGGATGGGGGTGGAAACAAGCAGCTTTGCCATCCTCCCTCCTCCCAAATGAGGAGGCTCCGCAGAGCCTCTCCTCCGCACACAACCAATGTGGGCTGATCTTGTAAGGGAAAACCAGATACTTTTCCTCTTTCATGACGTCTTTCATGACCTACATGCTCCTCACTCTCCTTTCAAGAAATTCTGCTCCCCATATGCTGCTTCCCCATCCACCTCTCTTATGTATTACTAAGAAGATTCCTCGTGGTCTGTAATCAAAGCAACATCCATTACAACAGCCACTTTTGGAAGTTTTCTTCTTCTCTCATGTTTTATAAACACAGATTTGAGGAAGGTTTGGGGTCACCGAGTCTAAAACCAGCAAGTGCTGCCACTCATGTGACACAATCTCTTTCAGAAGTTGTGCTGAATTTTCTGTCTAAATTTTTGTACCATTGCAAAGGCACTTTCCTACATCATAATTAACAATTGCCGAAAAGATAGTCTGAAAAATTAGTCTGTTTTCTTTGTAATCAGGTTTAATAATACATACATTTCTGTTACTAATTTCTTCATGGAGTCATTCCTTCTTTTCTTGGGAAATTATTACAATTCCAGTTAAAATAAACTCACTTCCCTCTCTTCTCACATTTCCAGGTTCTAGCACTGCTGTCAATATGACATACACAAATAATCTTCAAGAGACATTTTATCATTTGAAGTTGTTTCATTCTAATGTACTTGGCTCCAGACACTCCAAGAGAGGTTGATACAGCCATTACTACTAATACACTTTGCAGAAAGACTCTTTCATGCTATCTTGGGAGTGGGAAATGGGAGCCTAGTTTGATTTAAGCGTCTAAAAGGACACAAGGGTTACTGTAAGTTTTGCCTAATTTCTGTAGGTATTCTGAGGACACTGGGAAGAATATTACTTTTTGCAATACCTCTCTGGAGAGTATAGAAAAAGAAATTCTTGCGTAACATTTAGATAAAAAGTACTAAGTAAAACTAATTTTAAAAGGAACATCATTATATACCATGTGGTCTTGTGTAAAATTACTGCACTGGTTTTATTTGTTTATCTACTAAATAAAATGGTGGATACTTCATTCCCATCTGACCACTGGAAGATATTTTGGACCTGTTTTGATGCTTATGGCACATATAGGAAGAGAAAAAACTTTGGCCAGACTGCACAACAGGAACTCCCAACAGTGGCTTCGACAAACAGGGCAAACACCCGCCCAGTATAAAATATCCATTAATAAGCAATATTTGTTTATAAACTGATGAACCATGCCACCTTTTTATAGACTGTACTAAGAAAAGTAAACTAAACCAGGTAATTATATATATTAGCATCTCAGCAATAATATACTTACACAGAGCTGTTAGCTAACATATAGATTCCCGCCAGGTTGTCTAGTCAACAAGTGCAGAAGACAGCTGCATTTTGATTTAAATGCTCTTTACACTAAGGAAAAAAAAAGCCATCAGGTGTGGAAGAGCAGAAGTGAGTAACCCAACTTTGCTCTTCCCTTTCCCTGGTAGGATTCAAACAACGATCACTTCAGTGATAACAAGGCACAGAGATCTTAATTTTCATTCCTGTGTAGGTGCCATAAAGGTGGCTTTCATTACGACTGTAAAATCAATGTCCTTGAAACTTAAGCAAGCAGTGACTATATTTAACAGAAATCTTTTTGTCTTATTTTATTTCAGAAGATTACAGTAAATCTGTCTGCTTTAGAAAAGCATTATAAAATACAGAATCCAGGTAGCGTAGCTTCTGTTTTATGTTTTAGGGGGTAAGTTGTTTGGAGTGGATGTCTAGCAGTTGGCCAGGGAGGCAGATTTGGTCTAGATGATGGTTGTGTCTTATCTTTTCATCAGAAGAGTTGTCGTCACCACCTTGTTACCATGTCCCAGAGCAGCCAGTACCCAAGGGCCCAAAAAGAGAAAGAATCTCTTGAAACTGTTACGGCCTCCTCAGTGCTAGAAGGTTTGACCCACTGTGCAAACATAAACTATGGGGTGAAGGACCACTGCCGAGCAGCAGAAGCCCTTCTCAGTAGTACCTCTGTCTCTGTGCCTTTCCTTGACTCAGGCTAGCTTTTGGCTGGATCAGGCCCCATGTGATTGATGCAAAAGCAAGGAGAGAGGCCAGAGGTGAGGGTTAGGTTGGGCAAGACTGCAGCATCATTAACCAACATTGGCTTATGCTGCCGTGGAGCCACAGCCTAAGGGGTAAACGAGCTGCGTCCTAGTCTTGCTTTCCTGTGTGGCGTTAGCCCAGTCGCCAGACACATCTTGCTGCTTCAACTCAGCCATTCATAAGAAATAAAACACAGTAACTGTTTGACAGGAAAGCAGGGAGGCTGAAATCATCAGCCCTTAGAAACGAAGCTGCAGCAGAAAGTGCTGGTATTGCTGCAGAACAAGGCCTTTGGCTGCAAAGCATCAGTGAGACAGCATCGTCCAGAGACAGAGGTGTCAGCACCTTTCTTAAGGCAGAAGAATTAGACATTCCCTTGGCTAAAGTGTTTAAACACAATATATTAATTACCATAAATTTTCTGTACTACTGTAACTACAGAAATTATTCTTCAAAAAGTCAGGCAAGTCTGGCTTGCAGGCAGTACAAAGTAGCAGAATTTCTCTGCAATTCACAGAGCCACACAGATTTTTATTGCCTAAGTATTCCACCCAGCTTATTTTCCTCCACTGCGACTTGATTCTGGCTGCATACATTTCCATTCTGGGGTCATTTTTGGTTCCTGTCAGCTTAAGTGAAAAGTAAGACTTGCTTCAGGCTAGGATGGGTCATAAAAAAAAGAGCTGGGGAGGGGAAAGGAAGAACATTTTGGCTGGGGAAAGAAATGAGAAGAGCTGTCTATAAACAGAGTAAAGTGGAAACATTCTCTCAGCCGTCACGTCTCTGCTGAAGCAGCAGCAGCGAGCGGGCATAGCTCCTGCTGTTATTTTTTCCCCCATTCGCGCAGGGTCCGACGCTCTGGTGCGCGCCGGGCAGAGAGGAGCGATGGGGATGGCTCCTTCAGCCTATGCCAGGAACGTCCTGGTACCCTGGCCGCATCCCTGGGTCCCAGCCCAAGTGAGCTCATGGGGCTCAGCTGGACGAGGCAGCGCGGACGCGTCACGGGGACGACTGTCACGCCGGGCCTCAGAGGGACGCTTGTTGGCCGGGCCGAGCGCGACGTGCAGG